TCTGTGAAGAATAAGGTTATAGTAGTTGCGCTAACCGATAGGAAACCCCTTTTCATGTTTCGGATAACAAATTGCAGCAATTTTGTCCACGTCCTCCGCTGCGCCGCAGGTTCAAACAACAAAAGATCGATATTCCCGGAACATAGTGAATGCCAACCAAATCGCATCCCATTAACTAAAATATTTGATTGAAAGTTAGCCATTGGATCCTCTTATTGGCCGAAAAGTCAGTTAATTAGAGCTAATGGTTAAAATTTTTGTAAAAGTTAGTTTAACGCTTTGAAGAACAAAAATATATCTCACTTTTGATAGGGTTTATCTCAAGGATGACTGTGAGTAAACTGTTCTTTACGCAGAGCCAATTCTCAGCTTGGAACCACACACGCATCTTGTAGTGAAGGACGCCAAGGTCGTAACTCATCTGACGTATTTTCTCCGATGCATCCGGCTGCGCTAAGCATTCCAGCGCCTGAAAGTTAGCTAACATACGTGTGTTGGTGAGAAGATATACATTTAATTTGCTCAATAAAGTACATACAGTGCATTGCACGGTAATACCTACTTAATCTTTAATCGCAAGTTCCAAATCCTAATTTGTCAAGATTAAGCAGAATAAAATATTTGAACAGAAATTCAATGGAAATGCCTGCAATTTATTCAGTGATGCAGCATTGCAGACGAATAGTTAATTTCAGTAAAATTTTCTTTGCAGATTTAAAGTAGAATAGACTGAAGAAGGAAATCACAAAATGAAGCAAATTGGAAGAATATAAGTTGAACTTGGTACCCAATGTCATCCGTTCTGTGAAGTAAACCAATTCTCTTCAGCCAGAAAATAATTGCAGACGTTACTTTTACTAACTTCATGACAAAAATTATCCTGTGGGTGCAAAACAGTTACTAGAAGAGAGATGAAGCAAGCTATGAAGAAAGATGCTAAAGTTTCATTGCACTTGAAAAATCGGCAGTATTATAAGCACAAAAATCGAGAAAGGTAGAAGATTTCAAACAAATTTAGTAAGTAATAATTTCTCCCCTGAGGGATCTGGTGATTTCAAGCTTAATTTATTTGTTTAATCAGGATAATTTACCTTTGTAAAGAACTGCACTACTCCTTGTCCAACCTCTTTGGCTCTTCTCAAATCCCGATTAACAACTTCCACAGTAAAATTTCCGCTGTAATTAATATGCCCAGCATGACTTTCCAATAGTGACTTGAACAGCGATCGTTTATCATTCAGCAAACGTATGATAACTTCAGCTCCAACATCAATAGTCGCCACGGCTCTGTAATAAATT